TTCAGAGAGGAAGGGGAAGGAGAGAGAGATAGAAACATCAATGATGAGAGAGAATCATTGATTGGGTGCCTCCTGCATGCCCCTTACAGGGGGTTGAGCCCACAACTTGGACATGTGCCCTGACCGGGAATCGAACTGTGACCACCTGGTTCGTAGGTTGACTCTTAACCACTGAGCACACCGGCTGGGCTATATATATATTTTTAAATATGTTTTTATTGACTTTTTAGAGAGAGAGGAAGGGAGAGGGATAGAGAGATAGAAACTGAGAAACATTGATCAGCTGCCTCCTACACGTTCCCTACTGGGGATCGAGCCCACAGCCCTGACTGGAATCAAACCAGGGACCTCTTGGTTCCTGGGTTGAAGCTCAACCACTGAGCAACACAGGCTGGGCAGTAACTTTTTATAAAATTGGTTCAAAGTTCTTATTTTCAACTCTTTTCATATATAGACTTTAACATTTTAATTTAAAAATTATTTTATTTACATATAATTGGTATATTATTAGTTTAGGTGTTGAATATTGTGATTTGACATTTTATGCCTTGCAATGTGATCATTCCACTAATTCTAGTAATCATCTGTCACTGCAAACCTAAGACTATGTTATAGGCTATATTCTCCTTTATCTTTTACACTCATCCCCATCTTCTTCCCTCTGGCAGTTATCCCTTTGCTCTCTGTTTCTCTGTGTCTGTTTTTGTTTTGTTTATTTTTTTTTTTTAAGATTTGTATTAAGTGAAACTACAGTATTTATCTTCCCACTGACTTATTTCACTTGGCATAATACCCTCTAGGTCCATCCATCCATGTTGTTGCAAATAGTAAGATTTCATTCTTTATTGTGTAATATTTCATTGTTTATATATACCGCATCTACTTTATCCATTCATTATATTGATGGACACCTAAGTTGCTTCCATATCTTGGCTGTTGCTGCAGTGAAAATAGGGGTGCATATATCTTTTGAAATTAGGGTTTTTTCATTTTATTCAGATAAATACCCAAATGTGGAATTGCTGGGTCGTATGGTAGATCTATTTTTAGTATTTTTGAGGAACTTTATACTGTTTTCCATAGTGGCTGCACTAATTTGCAGTCCTATTAACAGTACACAAGGGTTCCCTTTTCTCCACATCCTCGCCAAAACATTATTTGTTGATTTTTTTTTTTTAATGACAGCCATTCTTTCTAGTGGGAGGTGTTATCATTTGCATTTCCCTGATGATCAGTGATGTTGAGCATCTTTTCATATGTCTGTTGGCCATCTGTATGTCTTCTTTGGAGAAATGTCCCTCTTTTCATGTCCTCTCTTCACTTTTGGATTGGATTGTTTATTTTTTGATATTGAGTTATATGAGTTCCTTATATAGTTTGGATATCAACCCCTTATTGGATATATCATTTACAAATATATTCTTCTATTTAGTAGATCCTCTTTTGTTTTGTTGATGGTTTCCTTTGCTGAGGAGAAACTTTGTATTTCATGAAGTTCCATTTGATTATTTTTGCCTTTGTTTTTCTTTTTTGGGGGGACATAGCCAAAAACATATTACTCAGACTGATGTCAAATAGTTTGCTCCTATGTTTTCTTCTAGGAGTTTTATGGTTTCAGGCCTTACATTTAAGTCTAATCCATCTTGAGTTTATTTTTGTATCTATATATATAAAAGCCTAAGTGACCATTACGACTGGTCGACCGGTCGCTATGATGTGCACTGACCACCAGGGGGCAGACACTCAATGCAGGAACTGCTCCCTAGTGGTCAGTGAGCTCCCACAGCGGGAGTGCCACTAAGCCAGAAGCCGGGCTCATTGCTGGCGAGTGCAGCTGTGGCAGCAGGAGCCTCTCCTGTCTCCGTGGCAGTGCTTCTGTGTGGTGGTGGTGGCTGGCACAGTGGGGCCATGATGAGCGGGAGTGGCATGGTGCCTGGCCCTGGCTTGGTCTCCTCCCCAGCCGCCTGCCACTTGGCACACTGCTACATCCCTCAGGGGATGTCAGACTGCCGGTTTAGGTTCGGCCTGCGGGCATCAGGCCTAAACTGGCTGTTCGACATCCCCCTCCGGGTCCTGGATTGCTAGAGGCCTCTAGTATGATATAAGAGAGTGGTCCAGTTTCTTTCTTTTTTTTATGTATCTGTCCAGTTTTCCCAGCACCACTTGCTGAAGATGATTTTCAATTCTTAAAATTTTCTTAAATTCAAAGATGTTTGTATTTTAGCATTCTTCTTTTTTTTAAAGCATTCTTCTTTTGCATTATAAGTAAGTTTTCACAAATGTGGCCTTCAAATGCAAGTCAAAGGATGGTTGCATTTACTTGAACTTGACTGCTCTAGTCCTCAGGTGGGGCAGTCAGTAATGTTCTCTGATCTCAGACCTTAACTTTGTTTCCATAGTGGTAAATGGAGCTGTCTGGAATGATTTTTTAAATACTGTCAAATAGAAAAGGAATTACTAGGCTGACCTATATGAAATGGCCAATATTAGCCTTTTTTTTTTTTTTTTAGTATATTACCCTTTTATTAGTATAGATCAGGGGTCCTCAAACTACAGCCCACGGGCCACATGCAAATACAAATATTGTATTTGTTCCCGTTTTGTTTTTTTACTTCAAAATAAGATATGTGCAGTGTGCATAGGAATTTGTTCATAGTTTTTTTTTTAAACTATAGTCCGGCCCTCCAACGGTCTGAGGGACAGTGAACTGGCCCCCTGTTTAAAAAGTTTGAGGACCCCTGGTATAGATAGTATAATAAGAGTATTTTTGTTAATAACTTCATCAAAATAATTCAAAACCACATTTTTTGTCTTCTAAAATAATTTTTTTCTCTTTTGGTTTTGTTGTTTAATTGATTATACACAATATTAGCCTTTTTAATCCTACAAAAAATGGCAAGTTTATATGGTTCAACCTAATAGGTCCAAGAGGAGGAAATTTGAGAGAAACCATTTGTATTTGGTTTTAAAAAAGAATTTTAGAATATATCAGAGGTTAGAGTTTTTAATTTCTCCACTGACATACTTGTTTTATAGCAGGGATGGGCAACCTTTTTGTGAGTGCGTGCCAAAACCAGCAAAATCTCTGACTCAAAATTCTTCTGCGTGCCAACCCTAATTTTTTGAGAACATGTTATGCCTACTTGATATTTCTTAAGGTGTACGTATGTGAAGAACCTTGAAGAAATAATAAAATTCATTCGAGCGACAAAATCACAGTATATGATAATGAAAAATACATTTATTTTTTAATGAATACATGTATACTGATAGTCCGACAGAAAACTTTATGACTTCGTTTGATATTATCAGTGGGACTTTTGCTGCTGCATCACTGATGACAGAGTTTATATTTCATGACCTTCAGAGATATGCACGAGCTACTACTTTCATCCATCAGGCTACTCCTATTATGAGACTTAACAAAATTCATCACTGAGAACAAAGATTCACAAGCGTATATGGATGAAAACATGGAGAGTAACGCTGTTGCAAAGTTTTTTAAACAGAAAAAATTTTCTGGAATGGCATTCCAAGTCCTCAATAGTTCGTTTTCGACACTATTGAAATTGCTCTTCCCCTCTCTCGTCAATCAATGTCTATGGTCTTTAAGATAACTTGTTATGTAAAATTATTTATTTATCTAAGATGCACCTACACTGAATTTATCTGAAAAATAAAAAAGTCGATATTAAGAAAAAAATTGTAAATGGAAGATTATAAGAGAGGGTTTCATGTGCCAGCAAAAGTTACTGGCGTGCCATGTTTGGCACGCGTGCCAGGGGTTGCCCACCCCTGTTCTAAAGTATTAGTCTGAGAAATATGTATTTCATCTTATTTTATGTTACTTTTTCTTCTCTTAACTGCATCTAACTGATTTGAGCCTCTTTCTTATATCTCTTGTCCGGATGGAAAATGATTTTAAGGAGTTCTGCTTTGGGATGTGTGTATATAATTTTTTACTTGTTTGAATTGCCTATATAACAGCATCCATCAGCTCATCAAGCCTACCAGTTTTGCAATCATACCCTAGTGCTCCATAGAGTATGATTTATATTGAGTTTCGGGATTTAAAAACTTATTTTGATTATGGAATGTACTTCAAGAAGTAATCATATTTATGAAGTTTCAGCACACTATTTGCTTCTAATGGAACTTGTATCATTCATTGCATTTAGGAAAAATTTGTTTCACTCAAGAGAGCATATTCTTGAGTAACCTATTCTGTAGAGGCGTGGCTTGAGTTTAAGGTGATTCCTCTCATCCAGTGAGGGCACGGAAGGGAGTTCTCAATAACAGATTTTCTAACACATGAAGGCCTTGTGACAGCTTTATTTTTTGTCACTGATGCATGATAGACCATTGCCTTCTGTTTGTTTTTTTCTGGGGGTGGGCGGTTCAAACTTTGTCTCTTGAATTTGATCATTGAGCCATCTAAGTTCTCCTCATGCCTTCCAGCTCCATTCAACTGGTTGGTTGTTTTTTATAGTCTCTGAGCCCTTTTGATGAAACAAAGTACGAGGGAGTGAAATCTCAAAAACATTTAATATTAAAACCTTTGTAACAGTTACACTGTCCTTGTGTAGAAACTGCTGTAAGATCCTTTAGGTGTATAAAGAGATCCCACTAGAAGAACCCCTAGTTCTGTTCACATAGATTGCTACTGGAATGCTGGTGAAGCAGAGTCTGGCCCAATTCATGAGTAACAAGTGCTGGGGTGGGATCCTGATTTTTGTTTTTAGGATTTTCCCTTCTTTTCCCAAAGTCTGAGAACTAGGGCAGCTTTGGAAAACAACAGCATGTTGATCTTTTCTTTCAAAATGTGAATCACAGTTGAGTCTCTATTATTTACCCTAAAGTTCTATTCCTTCTCTCTCCAAACAGTAATCTTTGGGAGGTAATGGCAGTCTGATTGATGTCTCCTGCTACATATGCATGCTATTCTTTCACTTTCTATTTCCATGTGTTAATTTATGTGTTTTTTTCTTCTTTTTTTCTAGTAACAAATACTTTTAAGAAAACAGGTGATATTGTGACATCTAAAGCACCAGCTGTCGACCTAGACCACAAATTTAGGTGCAAGGTTGTGGATTGTTTAAAATTTTTCCGCAAAGCCAAGCTGTTGCACTATCACATGAAATATTTCCATGGAATGGAGAAGTCTCCAGAGCCAGAGGACAGTCTAGGAAAGAGGCATGTCCAAACAAGGGGCTCTTCAGCTTCCGACAGGGCCAGCCAGGAGAGCCTGACCAGGAAGCGAGTCTCTGCCAGTTCCCCAAGTAAGCATTTTCATTCTGTATTTTATTTGTATCATGGAGCTTTCTGCTGCTCAAGTCTCAGTGGTTATATTTCTAACATAGAAAGCAGGTGTTGATGTGGTTCAATTGAGTCCCAAAAGATCGAAAATGACAAGTGATCCTCAGGGATTGCATTATGGGGGAAGCAGAAATACCTAACTCATTCTTACCTCAGCCTCTTGCTGTTCAAGTTACCTTGAGAAAGTCACTTAGCCTTTGAAGGCTTTTGGTACTCCCAGTATGAAGTAGGGACAGTCAAGGGAAGGGAACTTCTTCCAGAGCCAGCAGGAGAACTTGTGCTCAGAACAGCATGGCTGCAATCATCCCATCCCCCACCCTTGCCTGCAAAACAAAGGAACAAAAGAACTAAAAGATGATATGTGTTTTTCCTGTATGGTCAAAATTTGAGTCTGAGTTTATGATAATTGCAACTGAAAATGTTTCTCTATAGCATTGTTTATTTTTGCATAGATACTACCCTAGTATAAGGGTTACCATAAAATCTCATGTTCATGTTTTATTAAAGAGAACCTTTTTGGAGATTTCTTTTAAAATTCATAGAAATTGAGAAATTATATTTTTCTGGGGTTGCAGGAGAATTAATGAGTTTTTAGTAAATTCTACAAGCTTCCTGGCTTTTTACCTAAAACGGTAACATTATTGTATACTAGAGGCCCGATGCACGAAATTCATGCAAGAGTAGGCCTTCCTTCCCCTGGCTGCTGGCACTGGCTTCCCTCTGGCACCTAGGACCCGGGCTTCCCTCTGGCTGCTGGCAGGTACCCAGGACCTGGGTTTCCCTCGCAGCCTTGGCTTTGTCCAGAAGGACGTCCGGTCTAAGTAGCATATTACACTTTTATTATTATATTTAGCTTATAGCTTCTCCATTAAAATACATAGGTATTCGATGGCATGTGAAACTCCTGGGGCATCTGACAGCATGTATAAATCAGGTTTCAGGACAGTAGGGCAGGGCCATGCAGACTAAGGTGGTCTCTTGACCCTGTGTACGAACCCAATAGACAGGGTGTTGCTATTTGGTATAATTAAGAAACCTGGGTGATTGAATTTCTACTTTTATTTACTGCCCTTGGATCTCATATTAATATAAAGTAAGTCTTCACTTTATGTTGTCAGTAGGTTCTGTGACTTTAAGTGAAACAATGTATAATGAAGCCAATTTTTTTTACCATAGGCTGATTGATCTAAATAATTAAGTCCTGCTTCTGCCACTAACCAGCAGGAGCCTCTGTTTATTATTATAATCTGTGAACCCGGTTCAGTATACGTTCATGTTGCTTGCTATCAATGAGAGCAAACATAGCAGGGTATTCAGGAGATTCAACAGGCCTCAGCGCTCCAGAAGGCACCCCCTGTTCCAGGCATCTCCTCCTACTTTTCTCCCATCAAGGTCTCTGACCATTTCCTCACTGTTTTGCTGGTACTTGACTAATCTGATAACTAAATTTCTTAAGATTTGAAAGAATAAAACCAGCTTAATAGCTCACTTGTTTTCTTGGCATATCTAGATTTCACCTCAGACTTCTAAGAAAACCCTTATCTTTAGGAGTAGAATTTCAGACATTTTAGGGGAGTTCAGCTGGGGAGATGTTTCTGGGTGAGACTCTGACACCAGGCAGCCTGTGTCCTGGTTTATAGGCATTGTGAACTTGACCTTATGCTTAAGTGAAAAAGAGAATATTAAAGGATTTGTGCTGCTTGGGGATAATTACTGTAAAAAAAAAGTACCCTCCTTTTGCTGAGTGCTCAGATTATGACCAATGGAAACTTGGGTTCTAATAGATTTCTCAGATGGAGATTCCTGACCAGAAAACTCTGCAGAGATGATTTTTTGGTGTAACCCCTCAATTTTCCTGCCCGTAATGTTGCGTGGGAGAAGCTGTTCTGTTGAGTGGGAGAAGCAGTTCTGGTCTGAGAGTCCAGAGACTGAGTCTTTTCTATTTGTTTTATTTTTTTAATAATTTTTTTTAATTGATTTCAGAGAGGAAGGGAGAGGGGGAGAGAAACATCAATGATGAGAGAGAATCATTGGTTGGCTGCCCCCTGCACACCCGCTACTGGAGATGAAGCCTGAAACCTGGGCATGTGCCCTGATCACCGGAATCGAACCAAGACCTGCTGGTTCATAGGTTAACGCTCAACCACTTAACCACATTGGCTGGGCCAAAGACCAAATCTTTGGAGCAATCCTGCTATTGTCTACTTGTGCTCTGAGCTCATTACAGATCTGACTTCCTCATTTCTAAAGTGATGTAGGGTACAAAAGCACATGAACAGATACAGTGAAAAGGCCCAAGTCCAATGTCAGGGACATATAAAGTACTGTGGGAACACAGATTCAGATTTTGCCTATAGAGCAGGGCGAGATGTTGAGAGGAGAAGGTGACATTTGAGTTAGCTTTAAAGGGTATGGGTAGGTAAGGGTTGGGCCAGAAGTCAGAGGAATAGGAAAGGCATCCCTCTGCTGGGAACAAGCAGAGCAAAGGTTTACAGTCATCGAGGACAACATACTGTCAATGATGTCTGTCCCTAAAGTGCCCTTCTGACTGTTACTTTCAGATGTTTCCTCTTCCCTGGTTAAGCCCTTAGTCTCTCATAAGTGAATTTGGAAGGTCAGTGTAGATTTGCTTTTCCAAATGAGGTTTCTGACGGTGCCAGAATACATTTAATAAATTCTCTTCAGGGGCAAGTTTAGGCTTCCTTGGTACTGTATTGGGTTTGTTTCTGCATATGTGAGTTCCGTCCAGAGTAGAGGTTTGGCTCACAAAGAATATTCTAGGATGAAAGGGAACCTTTGGTTCATGTTCTCACTCTGGATAAATCTTAGTTTTAGGCCAGAATGAGCCTTTGGGCAGTGGGCGCTTCTTTGTCACCATCTGCACATTTTTTCTTGTGGTATTAGACTGGCCTTCTGATAGGGACATGTGCTTTCTCCTTTAATGGAAGAGAGTAATATGAGCTTAATTAGGGTATAGATTACTATGTCAAAGTAGTTGGCTTTAACAAGACAGGTTTTTCCTTCTATGGTCAGACTGCAAGCTCCTACAGTGGCTCTGTGAAATTGTCCAGGACTAGCCTTTTCCTCATTGTTCCATCAAGCCTAAGGGTAAGGTGTTGCTCTCCTCTGTATGATCCAGAATTGCTTATCACCTTGCCTGTCTTGTAGCTGCTGGGAAGGGAAAGGAAGGGCATACTTCTTTCTTTTAAGGGCACAACCCAAAAGTACCACAAACTTCTGTTCATATCCCAAACATATGTACCTGGCTCTAACTCTGTCAGGGGAAGCTGGAAAATGTACTCTCTTCTTGCAGAAGAAGTGGGGAAAAAAGGGTATTGGAGAATGCATAGCAGTCTGTGTCATATGAGCTACGGCAGAAAAATATAGGGCTCGAGGGAGGGACTTATTGGAGGGCCATTTTTGGCTGATGTCTGGGTGGGATCCCTGGTAGGGGATGATGGGAGATGAAGCTGGGAGAGTAGACATGGTGAAATGATGGTGTTAGGCCGTGAGCATCACTTCCTCTGATAGACAATGAGAATCTTTCCAAGAGAACACCCACTTCTACTCTGTCCTTGAGCTGCCATCCCTCGTGCAGATCTGAACACGCTCTAGTCATTGCTTATGTCAGCTGTGTGGCCATGCTCTGTGGTATACAAGCAGTTCTCCCATAGGTGAGAGTGATCTTCTTTCCTCTTCCCTCCTGGAAGCAGAAGTTTGCTACCCTTCTTCTGTCATAAGTTAGTGATGATGTGATGGAGAAATAGGTAGCAGCCCTGGCCGGGTGGCTCAGTAGTGGGAGCATCATCTTACACCAAAAGGTTGCAGGTACGATTCCTGGGCAGGGCACATACTTAGTTGCAGGTTTGATCTCTGATCGGGGTGCGTATGGGAGGCAACCGATCAATATTATTTTCACATTGATGTTTCTCTCTCTTTCTCTAAAATTAATAAAAACATATTCTGGGTGAGGATTTTAAAAAAAGCTTAAAAAAGAAAGAAAGAAAGCAGGCTGTGTGTATACAGGAAACAAGAAGGGCCCTGGTATTTCTCCTGATGGGTATCTGCAGCCTGAGGAAAGGACAATGGCTATCCTGGAAAAGCCATGCCCTACTCGGGGGACAAGCTGTTCTGTGATACAGAACCCTGGCAGGAAGTCGTTCTGTCCAGCTGAGTCTGGGCATTCGGGAAGAAGCTCTATAGCCAGGTTACAGGTTTTGTGGATCCCGGAACAATTGGTCAAGCTGTCTGAAGAGAGAACTGATAGCACACGGCACCACTTTCTGGGCAGACAGTATCGCAAGCAAGGTAATAACAGCTAACATTTGAGTACTTGCCATGTGCTGGGCACTGTTTCAAATTCTTCACTTGTATTGTCCTATTTAATCCTCAAAACAAACTCTGTGAGGCAGGTACTATTGTTACCACTTTATAGATTAGAAACTGAGGTGCAGATGGGATGGATTAACTTGAACCACTATTTATCTATCTATCAGGTGGTGGAGCTATGATTTGAATTTAGTTGCAGAGCCCATACTCTCATTTCTAGGCTCTGCTGTCTATTAGGACTCAAGGGAAGGAAGCTCTGCCTGTTGTTACCTTCTCTGCCCCTGTTCCTCAAGGACTCACCTGGGTTAGTTTAGTCCCTGCTGGGCAACTCTTCCTGTGAACTCTGCCACCTAAGGCCACATATGACTTCATAAGCTTTAGCTAGAAGCCAAGGTGTGCCTCTGAAGGCTTCTCTTTTCCCTTTGTGTTCAGAGAACATGGGCTTCTCTAGGACAGTTCCAAGAATCTTTTCTTTTTATCCTCATTGTTTGCTCCTCTAATTAAAACCTCAGGGAGGACTCTCCGAAGCTTATTGTGACCATATTTCTGACCAGCTGCAACACTTGGGGTACTTTTAGTTATAAGTAACAGGAAACCCAATTTGAATTGACTTCTTAATAAAGGAGCTGTGTTAGCTCACTCACTAGAGAAGTGCAGAGAAGGTATTGCTCCAGGACTATTGGTTGAGGACCTAGTGTCTTACTATCTCGCCTGTAATTGCTGTTTTCAGATTGAGTACCTTTGTTATTGTTAGGTCGGAAGGGGGTCCAGGAGCTGATGCATGCCTCTGCCAGGCAGATGGTGATGCAGATACTGGGCCCTTCCTAGAATCCGTAACAGGCCAGTGCACCGGGTAAATGGTGACGCAGATACTGGTCCCGCCCTGGAATTCCTAACAGGTCAGCTACGGGCAGATGACGATGACACCTGGAAACCTTGACGACCCCAGTGGCGGGAACTCCCACAGCTCATGCTCCCCCGCCCTCACTGAACAGCTGTATAAAAAAAGCACCCCCCTCCCTGTTGGTGCGGATCCATGTGCCCTGGCTTAGGGGTCCGTGGGCCGACCGGGGACGTAGAATAAAGCCTTTCCTTTCTTTCTTTTCTGATTAACTGGACTCTCTTTATTTCCTACGCCGTCTCCTGAGCCACCTAACCTAACAGTTATAGGATGGTAGCCTGTAACATATGCTGCTTCATTCAAATCTAACAAGAGGGTAAGAGCTTATTACTCTTTTAATAAGTGTTGGACCAGAGTCCAAAGTTTGGGTCAGATTAGTCCATTCTTGTTCCTGCCTTATGCACCAGTTGGCCCAGGCTCAGATTATCTAAGGCTATCACCGTGACAAGGGACATGGGATTACTCTTATTGGTTTAACTCAATATGGGGTCATTTCTGTCCAGACTCCTTAAATGCTGCACAGTGAAGTGAGGGTAGGGGAGGTTATGGGAGATACCCACTTGTCTGCTAAATTAGCAAGTACAAAGTGAGGAAAGAAACTTGCACAAACAAGGAAGGGGTGGTTGTGGTGATGAGAGCAGCTCCATGCCATGTGCTCATTTCCTATTACAGGCAGGGCCCAAGGCTTCCCAGATCTTTTTTTTTTTTTTGAGGAACACTGCTTTAATTACACCAGCTGACTCCGGGAATAATTTCCAAATCAGAGTGAAGAAACATGCAGAGAGCCTGTCTATATATATCCTGCAGGGTCTTTGTCTTGCAGATATGGTTGCACCCCCTTGTGGGCTTATAGGAAGGCCCCCAGGTGTTGGGGGTTCCCAGGTCATATCCGATGATCTGTCCTGGGGCCAGAGATAACGACCTTCCCCTACCCCTCCCTCCCAGGGTAGTGCATTGTTCAGTTTTTATGGCCTGACAGGCCTTGCAAGACCAGTTTCCTCCTCATTCCCCCCCCCTTGTCCCACAAGCTTCTTTTGGTCAGAGGTCACCTTCCACTCAGACTGGATGTCACTCTGCTGGTGGGCTGCCTTTACCTGGGAATGGTGGATCCAGGTGTTTAGTCCTGCAACCTTGAGAACGGTGGGGGTGGTCAGGATGACGGTATGTGGTCCCCTCCAGGTAGGAGTCAGTCCTTGGGTGGTCTTTACCCAAACAGAGTCACCAGGTTGAAAGCTCGGACATGCTTCTGGATTGCTCTCTGGGTAGACTGTAAAGCCTGTAAGAACTGATTCCTCCCTGGACATTCCCAGATCTTTTAATAGGTCTGAGTTCTTCTTTTTCTGTACACCAGTTTATGTGATCTTGCAGCTTCTCTGAATTTCACTTCTTCCTCTGCAGAGTAGTAATAATGTTATGGTATAGCTGTATTTTATGCAAAATTGAAGTTTAAGAGTTTGAAGTTGTGTGATATTAAAAAATCTTACCTTAATGTACAAAATTTGAATTAATGCAAATCCCAAGAAACTGAGAAAACTTATCAACCACATGATTTCAAAGCTGGTAGGTCAATGAGAGTATGTTTAGTATACCTTCATTTTATGGGAACTTTAGTCAGGAATTACATTAGTTTGAATAATGTGGGGTCTTCAGGAATCCCTTGTATGGAATGAGTTGCCCCACCCTTCACTTACTGCCTACTGGTTTCCCTAAACGATGTGATGCTGTTTTTGTTTTATATTTGTATTGATTTCAGAGAGAAAGGGAGAGGGAGAGAGAAGTAGAAACATTAGTGATGAGAGCAAATCATTGATCAGCTGCCTCCTGCATGCCCCCTACTGGGAATTGGGCCAGCAACCCGGGCATGTGCCCTTGACCAGAATCGAACCAGGGACCCTTCAGTCCGCAGGCCGATGCTCTATGTACTGAGCCAAACCAATTAGGGCTGATGCTGTTTTATAAAATGGGAAATGCAAAAAAGATTGTTGTTGAGAAGCCCAAAGGAACTCCCATACCTAAGTGCTAACTGGGTATTCCCTAGCCTAGATTTTGGGTATTTATACCTTGCATCTCCACCTCTCTATCTCAAGGATCCAGGACGTAGGTGATACCTCTTCTTCAGCCAGTTCTGCTATTAATTGGGGTTATTGCTGTTAGCATTTCACAAAACTAATGGGTACAGTTTAGTTTAGAGGTCATTTTAACCAGAATTTACAAATTAAAAATTGGATTGGGCAACAGTTTCTATATGTGTGTGGGTGAAGATACATCATAGTACTCCGAGTACTCCTTCCTTTCAGTAGCCTCCTAAGTCACTCATGGTAAAGGCCAACTTTCCTTATAAGGCCCTGATCTGCTTGTAGCCCATCTCATCATCTTTTTCTCAACCTAATTCTTTTTTTTTTTTAAATATATTTTATTGATTTTTTACAGAGAGGAAGGGAGAGAGAGATAGAGAGTTAGAAACATCGATGGGAGAGAAACATCGATCAGCCGCCTCCTGCACACCTCCTACTGGGGAAGTGCCTGCAACCCAGGTACATGCCCTTGACCGGAATCGAACCCGGGACCTTTCAGTCCGCAGGCCGACGCTCTATCCACTGAGCCAAACCGGTTTTGGCTCAACCTAATTCTAATTTCACTTCTGATGGAGACATACAGGCCTCCTTACTATTTACTGATTATATGGAAAAGCAATGGACTTTTGTATATTAACCTTGTATTTTGCAACCTTGCCATAATCACTATTAGTTCTAGTTTTTGTTTTGTTAATTCTTTGGGATTTTTCTACATAGATAATCATGTCTCTGCAAATGGAGTTTTAGTTCTTCCCTTCTCAATCTGTATTTTATTTCCTTATCTTACTGTACTGGCTAATAAGTCTAGTACGATGTTGAGTTAGGAGTGTTGCGTGGGGACAAAAAGTTTGAACAAGGAGTATTGATAACTTAAGGAGTTTTGCTGTGAAGAGTAGCAGAGAATGAAGTTGTGGTATTTGGTGAATTGTTCATTTTTAATGGGTATAATTCACACAAAAATTATGTGAATTTTTTTATAAAAGGAAAAAATTATAAAAGGAGAAAAAGTATAAAGCAAAATCCTGACGTCCAGGTCACACCTCAAGCCAATAAAATCAGAATTTCTGTGGGTGGGACCAGGGCAGTCACTTTTGAAAAATCTTCCCTGGTGATTGTAGTATGTAGCCGGGGAAGCACTGATAAAAGTAAGGTCGGGAAACTTTTTTTCTGTAAAGGGCCAGACAAATATCTTCAGCTTTGAGAGCCACAGGGTCACTGCCAGCTCTGTGGTTGAGGCATGAAAGCAGTTATAGTCAGCATGTAACCAGTGAGCATGGTGTGTTTTAATAAAACTTATTTACAGTAACAGGCAGTGGGACAGAGTTCGCTGACCCCAGGTTTAAAGACTAAGGTGATGGAGAAAGGGCTTCAGAGCCTTGAGAGCAGAACCAGACCCAGAATTCTGTTCTACCATTTGTTTTAGTTCTTCACATTGGCCATGCTTAAGAATAAACACCCCAAGAGTTGAAAACAAAATGTTAGAATGCCAAAACTTACACTTGTATTTAATTCTAGCTGCAAAAGACAAGGAAAAGAATAAAGAGAAGAAATTCAAAGAGTTTGTGAGAATGAAGCCAAAGAAGAAAAAGAAAAAGAAGAAGAAAACCAAACCTGGTAATTTTTTCCTGTAGGGTGTTTCACTTGGGTTTCCTTAACACGGGTGGGCTGAGGGGTTGCTTTCTCCCCAGTCCTGGCCTCTGAGCTTGCACGTAGAGGAAGGTCATCAGACCTGGTAGGCTCAGCCCTGGCAGCGGAAGAGCCTACTCACCCCGGGAGTTATAAGATCACATTGGATTTTAGGAAAACCCTCCCTCTTACTTCATTGGCCAGTGTGCGCTGCCACAGGGAAGTGCATAGGAAAGCATCCTAGTAGCAGAGGATATGCAGATAAAGGACTGTATTTGTTTGCACACACGATTCAAACACACATCTCTGAAATCTTTCGGGAAAGGATTCACTTATTATTTTTTTAATTTTAGAGAGGAAGGGAGAGGGAGAGAAAGATAGAAACATCAACGATGACAGAGAATCTTTGATCGGCTGCCTCCTGTACGTTCCCTACTGGAGATGGAGCTTGCAATCCGGGCAAGTGCCCTGACTTGGAATCGAACCATGACCTCCTGGTTCATACGTTGATATTCAACCACTGAGCCTTACCAGCTGGGCAAGATTCACTTCTTGAAAAGTGTGTATCTAGATCTCACAAAACAAGTTTATTTTCAAAGAAAATCAGTGTTCCAACCTTGGGAGCTAGGCTTAGAAAAATAATCTTCTGGCTTAGAAAAACAGTTTTATCAGAAGAAATCAGGGAAGAAGGGTGATGATGAAGAGGAAGCTTTTGGTTTTGAGGTTCTCAGAAGTAGCCAGAAGAATTAATCCCCAAATCTCTCCTCCATACCACTTTGCTCCTGAGCCTTTTAGCTGTTTAAGCAACAGAGCTATTGGTTGGATGGGGTTGATTCTAGAACAGCGGTTCTCAACCTGTGGGTCGCGACCCCTTTGGGGGTCGAACGACCCTTTCACAGGGGTCGCCTAAATACATCCTGTATATCAGATATTTGCATTACAATTCATAACAGTAGCAAAATTACAGTTATGAAGTAGCAATGAAAATAATTTTATGGTTGGGGGTCACCACAACATGAGGAACTGTATTAAAGGGTCGCGGCATTAGGAAGGTTGAGAACCACTGTTCTAGAATGTCCTGATGATGTCCGGGGGTGGGTGCTTATTCCTTTCTGATCTTGGTTTTTCAGAATGCCCCTGCAGTGAGGAGATCAGTGACACCTGCCAGGAACCTTCTCCACCCAAGACATTTGCTGTCACCAGGTGTGGGTCCTCTCACAAGCCTGGGGTCCATATGAGCCCACAGCTCCATGGCTCAGAATCTGGAAACAACAAAGGGAAAGTGATGAAAGTCCCTGGTAAGGAGGCTCTCTGCTGGCTTGATCATTTGTATAGCTCTGTAGTCTGACAAGACTGGAATTAGGTCGATTTTTTAAAATAAGTACATCAAATTAAATAAAGGCCATTAGCTGTGCCTTCCTTAAAGTTCCATTCTTTCCAACTTTGGTCTCTCAGGTACCTCCAGTGTATCTATAACCAAATTCATTATCCCCATCCCCTTGCACACCTTCCCATTCCTTCATTTCTTATTTGATGGCCTCTGCATCGAACCTGGTTGCTCAAGGAAATCTGAGTCAACCCTGAAGGTTCCCCTTCTCCAGCAACTTGTAGGATGATTGTGAGATTAAAAGGAGTTACTAAGTGTGTGCAAAGTATTTAGAACAGTGTCTACAGAATAAGTGATAGCTAAAGGTTACCTGTAATTATAACTAGTCAGGCCCCAAGACCTAGCGATTTTAGTTCTGATTATAACTGGAACCTGCCCTTTTCACCACCATCCACAGTTTTAAAGGTGGCTCTGGATACAGACTTGACTAAGCCAGGTCCTGGCTGGATGGGGTGAGGTTGAGGAACATGTGTGAGTGCTTAGGGATGATGATCTGTGTGGTTCATGGAGGAGTTACAGCTTCTCGCCAATGGACTCTGTGACCTTGAGCAGCCATTTACCTTGGGCTTCTGTCTCAGCATACATCATTTGGGCTGTTACTAGATGACAAGCTGTTACTCTTGACAATCTAAGATTTAAAAAATTTTATAACGTAATCTAAAATAGTGCCTGTTACTTTCCCTTTCCTCTCAGAGGAGGATAATCTGAGTGAGTCCTCTTCTGAGAGCTTTCTTTGGAGCGATGAGGAGTATGGCCAAGACGTCGATGTGACCACCAACCCAGATGAGGAACTCGATGGGGATGACCGCTATGATTTCGAAGTGGTCCGCTGCATCTGTGAGGTTCAGGAGGAAAATGACTTTATGATTCAGGTAGGTAGAGCTTCCAGGAGACAGGTATAGAGAAGCACAAGCTGGTCCTTGGAGGGAATTTTGAGGGACTACAGTTAAAGGCCAGCAAAAGTAGTCACGTCAGAAGCCCCAGATAGGCAGTTTTATCAGCAGCAGATTGAGCTTTGCTTTTTGGTTTAGCTTCCTCTGAATCTTGGGCTGGTGTAAATAGCTTATTAATAGAAGAAGAGAGAACTTGAGGGATTATTGACTCTAAACCTCTCATGCTCTGCCTGGGGCTGCTGGGATCCACAAATAGGGAGGGCCTTGTCTATGGTCACGCAGGATTTGAACAGCAGGGCCCTCCAAATTTCTGGAATAATCTTCCTGTGGATCCATACTTTCTGTCTGAGGTAAATTTTCTTTATGGCCTAAAGAAATGGACGTCAGTTTTATAACTTGTCTGTTTCTTGTTCTTTATTTTCCTGATATTTGTATTTGTCATTTCCATCTCTGGGATGTGCCTGTGGGCCTCCCTGCCTGCTTGGGGAGATCATCACTGGCCTGCACCTGCTTTCCTATGGTTCCTCTCTTGCTCTTAGTCATAGTTCTGGTGGAGGTGGTTCCTGTCTAGCTGACTCTAAGAGCTGTCATAAATACCCTATGTGCCTTTGCAGCTGCCTGGCTGTCCAGGGTACCTGAGTTCTTTAAGTAAATCATGGCTATGTTGGTTAGGATTCTTTGGGAGTTTCTTTCCTTTTGATTAGACTTTATGGTAATCTCTGGGAATTCAGGGTGCATAAATAGTCTCAATTACTGCCTGATATTTATGACCTTAAGTATGCCTTAGGTTTGTGGTTTTCAAACTTTTTAAGTATCAGAACTCCTTTTCCTAATGGACTCTTTCACAGAAAATCAAAACGTTTAAAGGTAAAAGCAGCAGTTTAGGGAAAGTTCTGACTGTATGATCTTCACTTTTAAATTCAGAAATGTGTGCCCTGGCCCATGTGGCTCAATGGTTGGAACCTGGGTCTGTGGATCAAGGGGTTGAGGGTTCAATTCCTGGTCAAGGGCATGTACCTGGATTGTAAGTTCGTTTGATCCCTGGCCCCAGTCCAATTGCTGTGTCTCTTTCACATCAACGTTCCTCCCTCCCTCCATCCCTCCCTCCCAAAAAAATTTAAAAAAAAAATTTTTTTTTTTAAATAAAGAAAAAGAAATGTGAATGGTGGGCTTAGTCCCATGAAGTCTGATATGCAGTCAGGATTGTGACTGACAGTGGCCGACTTGGAGCATTTCAGTGGCTCAATTATTTTTCTCATTCTGAGAGATAAGCCTAATGCTCATAGCCTTTGTATGGGTGAGTTTTCCTAAACAACATGTTATGTAGTCAATTTGATTAATCAGAGATGGGAGGAAAAACTTTGTTCCAAGGCAGCATAATGCAAAGCTAGCCTAGCAGCACAGAATTATGTGTACTGGCAGGCTGTGTTTGTCTTAACATTAAGCTTGGAACATGTTTGAATGCGCGTTTTATTTTTTAAGTGGTTTTTAAAAGGATGTTGGAGATTGTTAGTTTTGGTTTTGTTAAATCCTCACCTGAAGATATGCTTTTTATTGATTCTAGAGAGAGAGGAAGGTTAGGGAGAAGAGGAGGAAGGGACGGAGGGAAGGTGAAGGAGAGAGAGAGAGACATTGATTGATCGCCTCTGGTACCGCAATCCAGGTATGTGCCCTGACCAGGAATTAAACCTTTGACCCTTTGGTGCACAGGGCGACACTTTATCCAACTAAGCCACACCATCTAGGACAAGATTCTTAGTTTTTATCCTGTCTCTGGATGTGTGCTCTGTTTTAAGCCCTGGAAGCCTGATTTGGTTCTCATTTGTCCATAGAAATCTTTAGTGGGTGAATAATGGAGGCCCCTCTGGCAACTTTGTTCTGGCTAATCAGTATGGGAGATAGTGCTGTTCCACTGTGGTCCTTTCTCCATTGATTTTTCTATAAGTAGCAAGGATCACAGAGTGTTTGGGGATAGAGTTTGATGTGCCATGCTGTGCTTTACGAAGGACCTAAGTTTGGAGCTATTGAGGTATACCAGCTGTTACATGGCAGAGTCCGGAACTGACTTTCATCTCCTGCTTCTCAGGCTCTACATGACCTTTCTCCCAGCTCAGCTTAACACTGTGGCTTCCTATCTGGCATTGGGGTGATGATGAGCTCACTTCAGAACCCCTTTGGCTTTGTTGTAGACTTTTCCTGCTATCCACTTGCTGTCCATCTGGCTTTGTGTTATAGAAGGACAGTTTCTGACTTTCCCTGTCATGAGCAATGTACCTTTTCCACTCAGGAATTGTAGCAGAAGACATACATAAATTTAGAGGGAGCTAAATGGAAAAAAATACATTTTAAACTGTTAAGATTTATTCATCATTTAGTTTTAAATGTGTTCGTTATCTAGGAAGGTTCAAATAAATTTTTCTTAAAATAAATTTTAACTTACGTTGATAATTTGTACAACCCTAGAATACATTTAGAGTTTGTTTTCTGTAAACTACATACATTACTTTAGAGAAATGACTTTCTTTGACCATTTTCATTATTTGATTGGTAGCAACATTACTTTATTATTTAATTTTATTTACCAGTGCTAATTAAAATCACTAGGTTAAAATCTTACTTAGTAATTATGAATGTTTGAGAAATCTGGGTAACACATTAAATATTAACATCAGGGAACCCATTTGATATTTAAATTACTTTAATTACTCTAGGCCAGGTTTTGGCAAACATTTTCTAGTAGGACCAAATAATAAATATTTTAGGCCTTGAGGACCATATAGTATTTATTGCAACTACTCAACTGTGCCCTAAGCAGCCATAGGCAATATGTAAAATGAATGAGCATGTTCATATGATATTTTATTTATAAAAACAGGACTCTAGCTGTATTTGGCCTGTGGGCTGGAGTTTGCTGACCTTTGCCCTAGAGCAGTGGTTCTCAACCTTTCTAATGCCGTGACCCTTCAATGCTGTTCCTCATGTTGTGGTGAACCCCAACCATAAAATTATTTTTTTTCTTTTTTTTTTTAATATATTTTATTGATTTTTTTACAGAGAGGAAGGGAGAGAGATAGAGAGTTAGAAACATCAATGAGAGAGAAACATCGATCAGCTGCCTCCTGCACATCTCCTACTGGGGATGTGCCTGCATCCCAAGTACATGCCCTTGACTGGAATCGAACCTGGGACCCTTTGGTCCGCAAGCCGATGCTCTATCCACTGAGCCAAACCAGTTTCGGCTTATAAAATTATTTTCATTGCTACTTCATAACTGTAATTTTGCTACTGTTATGAATCGTAATGTAAATATCTGATATGCAGGATGTATTTTCATTGTTCACGACCCACAGGTTGAGAACCGCTGTCCTAGAGCAACAAATATATATTAGATGCCAAACCCCAGTAAAAATTGTGTAGCAGTTTTAATAAGAAGCCCATTTTAAAACTTTGGTTTGTTTTAAAATTTATATTATTTATTTGTTGCTAGCTAATGCATTCACATAGTTCAAAGGCTAAAAGGTATATACATAGGCATACAGAGAAAAATCTTACCTCCATCTCTGTCAACAACCCTTCCCTAGAGGCAGCCCTTATCATCCTATATAATAATCCTATATAATAAAGAGGTAATATGCAAATTGACTCTCACTCTGTCACACTGTCACAAGATGGCTGCGCCCACAGCGGAGGCAGGGTTCCCATAACACAAGATGGCTGCGCCCACAGTGAGGCGGGGTTCCCGTAATGGGCCGTAACGAGCGATCAGCAGGGACCGGAGGCTGCGTGGCGCCGGGCTGGGGGACCTGAGGCTGTGCCCCCTGCCCAGTAGGGCTTGACGGGGGACTCAGGCTGCGTCCCTACCCTGACACTGGGCCAGGGGACCTGAGGCCGTGACTCCTGCCCGGCATTAGGCCGGGGGACCTGAGCCTGCATCCCCCACCTGGCAGGGCTTGGTGGGGGCCCTGAGGCTGCGCCCCCCACCCAGTGAGGCTTGATGGGGGACCTGAGGCTGTGCCCCCCACCCAGTGAGGCTTGATGGGGGACCTGAGGCTGCGCCCCCTGCCTGGTGGGGCTTGACGGGGGTGGGGCCGGCCCGGTCTGGATCTTGCCCAATGGGGGTGGGACCTGTCGGGTCTGGGTCTTGCGTGATTTCGAGGTGCACGGGGGTGGGCGGGGACTTGACTCTGGGTCCTGCAGTGTGCCCCAGGCTCTGACAGGAGGAAGATTTTCATATACATTTTACTAATTTTCTTTCCTCTCTCACACTTCTATTATAGAGAAAGGGCAAATAGCAATATTAAAATATTTCCTCTTATTAATTCCCTTTTAATTAAAAGTGTACGAATTTCGTGCACTGGGCCATTAGTTTTCATTTTGTATATCATTCCACAAACATTCTGTGGCCAAACATGTAATAACAAATATGTTCTCTCCATTCTTTTTTTTTTTTTTTTAAATATATTTTATTAAGTTTTTACAGAGAGGGAAGGAGAGAGATAGAGAGTTAGAAACATCGATGAGAGAGAAACATTGACCAGTTGCCTCCTGCACACTCCCCACTGGGAATGTGCCCACAACCCAGGTACATGCCCTTGACCAGAATCGAACCTGGGACCTTTCAGTCCTCAGGCCGACGCTCTATCCACTGAGCCAAACCGGTTTCGGCACTCTCCATTCTTTTATTTGTGTGGTGAAATACACATAACATAAAATTTACAATTTTAACCATTTTTAAGTACATTGGCATTGAATGCATTCACATTGATATGCAACTGTCTTTTTTAAAATACAAATATTATTTTATATGTAGTATTTTCAAGATTTTTTTTTCATATAACAATGTATAAGTTGAAGTCCACTTCATTTTCAAATATGAAAAGCTTCCACATTCTTTTTTATAGCTGCATAATGGGTGGATGATCATTTATTTAACCCTTCTCCTATTGATGATGGACATTTAGATTGTTTCTAATCATAAC